ATCCAAGTGCTGCAAATGTACATTACCAGATTAAGCTTATTAAAAGCAAACGCAAAAAAAATATATAAATATATAATATAAAATTTAAGATCCATTTGGCGGCATTGGCATATAATCTAATTTTAAGCCGTTTTCATGCTGATTACTTTTTTCTTTTGCTCTCAAACGAAAGGGGCTTGCGCTTCGAAATCCTGAGTTTAGAGCGCCTGATATACTCGTAGTACTTGTAGTAGGTAGGTTTGAAAATGAAAATTTTATCCGAATCCATGGCTATATTTATTGCATGATCTGGAGCATATTCCAACAACAAAAGTGCGTTAAAGCAATGCTTTAATTTGAAAATATTTTTCCAGTTCCATCGCTTAAGATCGAAAGTTTCAGTGTGTTAAAAGGGGGAAGGGAAAAAATTTAAAATTGCGTTAGACCAAGCTAGCGCTAAATGAGTTCTTATAAAAGGAGGGCTGGGACATCAATAAAATCGATGCCATCGAATCAGAAAATGGAGAAAAAACAATGTAGATTTCGAGAAAAGAATAAATAGTAAGATGCGCTAATCCCAATTTTTGAGTAAATTGACAAACTTTTTATTGTACTTTTATTCAAGTTCAAGAAACCGCAACGCATGCTTCTTTTTACTTTTTTCCTTCCCTTTTCCTAGCTTTTTCTTTCTTCGCTATCTTTCTGTCCTTAATTGATGTAAGTTTTTCTTTGCTCGACATGCTTTGTCAATTCACATTTCTCAGTCTCTACATGCAGCTGTCTCCCGAAATGCCAACCATTGACACTTTAAGCAGGTTTTTATACCCTGTACCCAAAGGGTAAAAGGCTATACTAGTTTTGTGCGCATGTATGTAACATACAGAAGGAGGCGTGGCAGACCCCACAAAGTAAATATATTCTTGATCAGCATGACAAGCCAAGTCGATGTAGCCATGTCCGTCCGTCCGTCTGTCTGTATGTGCGCAAGGATCTCAGAAGGTACAAGGGCTAGAATGACCAAACTTGGTATCCAGGTTGCCCTGAGCCCTAGGCAGGTCAAGTTTGTTTTTTTACACCCCGCCCCCCCTTTCCACCACAATGCGTGTTTTTTTTAAACTTCCGTACTTCTTGGAATTTTTAATTTTTGGTAGTTACATCCAGTTAGTGCTTATGTGTCCCTATGCCGAATTTCATCATGATAGGTCAATTCTGAAAAAAGTTATAGCCATAAATAAAATCGCTGCCCACGCTCTGCTTGTAGCGCTGCCGGCAGCGCTGCCCGTAGCTGTTGTTGTTGTTGCTGCTTGGGTTCAACTTTTTGCTGGATACATACACGCGTATAAGCACGCAGAGACACGATTCTGATGTAAATGTATGCTGTTAAAACTGAACATAAACATGTCTTTTAATTTAACTTGAATGTAGCGTTCTCTCTTGTTTTTATATTGATTTAAAATGCTGCTTATTTCTTTTGTTGTTGGACATTACAAAGGCCTTCATGTTTCAAAAACTAAGCGTTTCGTGGCTACCCCCAATAAATACGTTATTACTAATTGGTCTTCTTTAACACTTAACCAGATAAGTGTTCTTCGAGAAACTACATACTTCATGTTACATGGTATTTATTCCCGAAAAGGATAGAAGTTTTAGCAAAGCCCTTCGTCCTTTTCGATTATTGTTCATAGGTCAATTATTAATTAAACAAGAAGTACATTCATGGGCGTAGCCAATATCTTGGCAAGATTTTGTTTTTACTGTTATACGAATATTCGTCCAATATACAACATAGTATAAAAGTTTGCAAATTATACATGTATGTAGAGTTCTTTCTATATTGTGAGTCACGATCAGTATGTTCAACGTGGTACACAAAAAGCGATAGAAGCCAAAAATCTCGCAGTTCGAAGTGTAAAGTGATACTAATATATTTATATTCAATATAATAATTCAATTACGTAAATGGCAAACACATTAACATTCTAACGAATAATTTTATTAACTTACTACAGTCTAGTCTCTTATGATTACAACAAAAAATGACTCGCAGATTTTCACAGAAAATTTTTTAACTTATTTAGCCCCTGAGAAGTAGAGTTTGTGGATCCGGCATTTGTTGTCTGTCAAAGCAGCCAGAAGAAACCATTTAGCGTGCTCACAGGACAAACAATGTAGACCATCGCATTCGACTCATCACGCAGCTGGGTGGCCCGGGTCATGGTTTGCTCAGGCTGCCTCGGTAAACTCACTCCGACCTCTGCCGGAACGTACCGAATCCCGTAATCGTGCATTTTCCATCGTCAAGCTCTCTAAAATATGAGATACGAATAACTGGGTAGTAAGGAATTGTGTAAGACGCTTTTGCGCAGCTAGCTCGTTGCGCAAGCGATGCTCCTCGATGCGATCAATAGCTCGCAACCTGTCCAAGCATATTGGGCATCTCATCCCGTCGTCTTCGTCTTCGTCATCACTATTGGAACGCTCGCGCTTCTTTGATGGAGAAGGTGCGTCCAAATTAGAGCGTTCAGTTCCTTCCATATCTGCAGGTTCAGAAGCTGCTGCGGGCTCTAGTGCTCCCTTTGAGATGGAAAGTCCGTCAATATCTGGCCGAATTGTTCCAATAGCAACATGCATCGTTTCATCCGACACCTCAACTGGCTGGTCAGCAACAGCAGCAGCAACCGGTGGAAGCTCGTCAATCTAATTTACTTTTAAATGTTTGTATACTCGCATGTATCTGAGCCTATACGACGCATTTCTATTTCACAGGTTGGTTGTTGTTGGCATTTTGGGAGATTTCAAGCCCCATTACTCATTGACCATACCTCGTTTATAAACAGGCTGCTGGTCTGCACTTTCTAGCTTTTTAGCTGGAGCACAAACTTGTTCTAATCGTGTTCTCCGATTCCTTAATTATTAATTATTTTTAATTATTAACAATTAAATTGCAAATAGAGACAATAACCAATGCCGGCTTGTCAATGGGGAGCGTCCAGTTTGGGTTTTCATAACGGTTGGCATTTTTAATTCACATACATTTTATATTTAAATAAATGACTAACACGGCCTCTTACACTGACGATTTGTTGTGAACAGATAGTTGTGAACAGGTTTGATTGACTTTGCCACACATTCATTGCAATCGAGAATAGTTGAGCTGTTGTGCAAGTGGGTCTGTGAAAATGGGATTAAAACTTTTGTCAAAGCCTGATAAAAGATAGAGCCAGATTGATGTCTACAAATGTTCAACAAATTCTGTGTTTTTTTTATAAATTTTTATTCTTTATGTAAGATCTGTCCTAAGGAGGGAAATGATTAAACTATATGGTAGCATTGGATTTGTTTAATCATGCGTTCTGTCATGATGATTGTGACGCGTTTAAGCTAGATCGCTGAGCTATGCCAGCTATAGCCACATAGCTACAAAAAAATTGTTTTCATATTCATGTTCATATTAAATATTAGATCATGTATTCAGATTGCCTACGAAGATATGCTCTGAAATTGTTAAAACTTATTCTACTCGCATTAACATATTAACAATCCTATTTTAAGGTAAAATTCTACTTGTATGATTGAATGAATAGCTCTTCCATCGCCTAAGGATTCGCCTACATTACTTTTTATGGAGGCATCCGCTTTTTCAACAATTGGTTAATACATTTTAAGCATAAGTATAAGTGTGGGAGCTTTCTGATTATTGTATTATCATTAGCTGTCTATAATGTTCAAATTTTTTACGAATTATCGGAGGTCTTAAGATATTTTTCGTATTTCGTCGTAGACCTGCAGCTAGGATAATTATTGGCTTGCTGCAAAAGTTGCGTTAAAAGTAAAGTTCCAGCTAAAGAATGCGACGTCGGGCGTATGATCCCTATAGCAGAGTTGTGATTGGGAATTACTGGCTTATATTTTTAGTAGCTCGGTAGCCCATTTAGAAGAGACCCAAGATAGAGGAATATATATTAATATATAACGCACTTTTGTTATTACACGCTTCTTGAGAGGAATGTTTTTCTCCTATTGATAGGAGTTAAGACCATTTCTTCCTTTTCTTCCTCACTTTGCAAGTTTTTTAAAAATGCCTCGATTTCCTTTTCATCCAAAATCTTTTGAGAAGCCATATAACTGACCTAGAACAATTTATATGGATTCTAAATTTTATTTTCTTAATACAAATAAAACGAAAAAAGTCACAAAGGTATTGGTGGTCGATTCGTCTAGGGTTAACCCTGACTTCTCATGACATTTCTTAAGTCCCCTGCATCCATGCAGGGAGAGACTATGTATTAGATATGCTTATATATCTATGGACATGTGAGACAATGTCATGTGGTGGCGTTATCTCAGAAATATGTGAACTGTAAAACCAAACTTAAGCATTTTGATTAGCTTTAAAAGAAACGAGAATTCAATAAGAAGATTAGGTTAATCATTAGAGAATTGCCTGACAATATGGATGATTAGTGTTAATGCCACAATTTAATGAGGTATCAAGACACACTAATTGTTCAGTTAACGCCTTATTCCAAAAGTAATATGTAAGTCAGGCCATTGGTAAAGAAGTGCGAACATTGTTAAATTTACATCGACACGTTTTGAGATGATATCGATATTAGGTTAAAATAGATTTAGATTGCAATAGATTTAGATTATAATGGGTTTAATAGTAATTACCAGAAACATCGATACAGCATCGATATTACAGTATAATAATACTAAAAATGTATCTAAAACGAATTCGTGGCTCAGTAGCTCTGAAAACGACTTTATTTCTGAAGCATTTACAAGTAGAAGGACTGAAGGACTGCTGATCCCTCTAAGGGGATTTCTCTCCAAAGACATCTGCCAGAATTGTGCAAAACACTACTTGAAGTTGAGTTTACATATCATGATAACAGCCTGATACCATGAGTTATTCCAAAAGGGAGGAGGACGGGGGCATATATTCCCAAGAAGAGGACCGAATGCTTGCCTTTACTCAGGTCTTGCTGTAAGACATTTGTGTATACAAATCAGAAGTGTTGATGGCCAAAAAATAATTTATTAGTAAGTCACTGGACATCAGTGGAACATTCGAACTGAAATTTTGGAAAGACTTTGAACAAATAATCGTAGAATAGGAAAGATAAGTAATATAAATCAGGTTATTTGCTGGCACGGCGTTTTATCTATTAGCGGATAGTTGGCAGCGTACTCGCGAACAGAAACCTCCAAATAGAGCGGCTCCAACGACTCGTTGGTCAGGACGCGCAGGTCGGACTCGCTGAGTCGCATATAGTGGCTGCTGGTGTGCACAAAGTCGTGGCACCTGTGCGATTTGCACAGTCCCCGCACCTGCATAATGGAGCTTCGGGTCACGTCCAGTCGTCGATTGAAGACCGTCATCATGACATGCAAGGGCTGTGGCAGATCCATGCTAGCAATCCACAAGCACAGCACATCCTCCTCATCATCTTCATCGAAGTCTGAAATGTTTTGACACTTACGCTGTGGCTCTGCGGCTGGTCGGCTCTCGTCCTTAAACCGGACTCGCTTGCCGCAATTCAGCTCACTAAGCCGGGCCCGGCAGATCATCACAAGCAATGGTAAATGGCCAGTAAAGTGCGCAAATTGTTCAGATAATCCAGCGTTATAGACGGGCATGTAGCGCATTATGGGCAATGTGTTGGAATAGCCGCGTATTCCTCCGTACGCCAGCACCGACATGCAGGCATTAATGCCGTACTGGAAGGACCTTGGACTAAAAATAAGTAGCAGACGCTCGTGCTCAAATATCTCTCGCAGCTCCATGCCGGGCTCATCCAAATGTTCACATATGAAATGCGACAGCAGTTTCTCATTCAGTTGCGGGGGGCAGGTCGATCCGTTCAAGGGGCAGCTGTGACGCACCGAATCAATGTCGTGGGCATTCAGCTGTTGCCAGTCTAGGGCACCGTTCTTGCTCAAGCAGCGCATGTAGTTCACATCGGAGGCATGTTGAAACAACCGTAACTGCCCCATGCGCAGCGCTATGTCCTGTTCCCGCTGCTCTTTAGTCAGCTTGGCAAATTCTCGGGCAAAGTAGGCTCCTCGTTGGGGGGCGGTTCGCTGTGCGTTGGCATCGAGTATGGGTTGGCCAGCAAAGCCTGCATGCATCACATCGATCGGAAGATACTTAAGCTTGTCCCAATTCGAATACAGTCCGCCAGTTATTTGTGGCATATAACCATTTGTATGGTCGTAGTCCTCCGCAAGATGCCAGACTTTTGTCAGCGAATTACAGGAGGCAAGTGCCATAAGACGATCGCCCCGAGCCCTCCGTGCAGCAATCGTGCCATCCGAAAGCGTATCGCTATCGGCATCATAGGCTTGCTCGGTTTTCTCATGTGGCGGGTCTAGTTCTGACCCGGAATCACAAGGTCTTGGCTCGTGTCGTTTCTTGATGCACGATTTTTTGGGGACGGCCTTCAACAGCGCAGTCAAGCGGTCAGGTGTCAGATCGAAAGGTGGCCTAAATTTATCAGGTTTAGTTTTATTTTTTGTCGTAACTGCGCGTCTATGCGCCAGCTCATCTGACTCGACCTGGCTGGCATAATTCAGTGATGTATCTTGCTCAGATTCGTGTCCTTCAGGGTGATTTGATCGCGCTGTCCGCGACTCGTCCGAGCTATTGTGCAGGGGCGGGAGTTCTCGTTTCTCGGGTGGGGCTAATAACGTCTGGATTTGGTCGCCAATGGTATGACTTGCGCCGTTTTTTTTCTCGCTTCGCGTTGGCTTGCCCTGACTTCGTCTCTCGTCGGTTCTTTTTGCTGTGCTCTTGCTGTGGCCCTTTTCCGGCCTCTGTTTATTTGCCCCCTTTTTAGCGCTACTGCCCAGCATCGGTGGCCAAAGGACTTTGAACCTGTGCAGAACTAGTTTAGCGTTTGAAGCATCATCTTAATAACAAGGCAAATGCTACGTAAACTGACCTTGCTCCGACTGCGAGTCCGACTGCGAGTCAAAGCACTCTTCGGACACTAGATCCTTAAAACGACAATGTTGGTGCTGCCTCTTCTCCGTGGCAATCCTACTCATGGCCTCGACCGAATGCAGCTCGTATGGAGGCAGTTTATTTTGCTGTTTGCCCTCTTCCGTCTCGTACTTGCACTTTACTTCACCCGCCTTGATACGCGCGTGCCCTGTGCGTCGCGAGCTAGAGGCGAGTGCTTGGTCTGGAGACTCGTGAAGCCTAGGTGGAGGCAACGCATGTCCCTCAACAAGCAATGAGTGAGCTACCACCTCCTTTCGGAATCTATTCATGTCCTTGACGTGATTACTGCGATTACGATAATTATTGCCATCACAATTGCAGTCTGATAGCTTTGATGTGCCACAGCCACAGGGTGTGCTGGGGGGTATCATGGTGAGTGGCCAGCTGGGATGGGGCATGCAGCAACACTTGGGAGGAGAGATCTGAAGCTGGCACTTTTTGCACTCCAGAGGGGAGCTGCGTGAACTGCGATAGGCGATACCTGCCGAACAGTTGGGGTGGGATGGGTGCACGGGACAAGATGGCGGCGGCGGATGGTTGCGATGTGAAATCTGGATATTGGCAATGGGGCTGCTATGATTCTGGTACAGACTGCCCACCATTGACGAGCTACGTTGGCGACATAACTCGCAGATGTGTGACGGAAGAGATTGCCGATTAACGCCGCAGGTCATCTGCCACATCTGTTTGTTCTGCGGCACATGCTGTTGTTGATTCTGCTTGACTTGCCGCTCCGCACAGGGACATGGAGTACACGAATAACTAAGCGGCATGCCCTTGTCTGGCTGTGCCGCAGATTCTTGGCATGTTGTGGGTGCAACAGGAGATCGTTCCATTGTCATCCAGGGCTGGTCTGTTGAGGGCGAGCGAGACAACGGTATTGTTCGTTTCTTAGCATATACAAGACAATCCCGATAGTCGCTAGGCACATCCGAGTGAGTACTGCTACTCGGGGAAGCTGCTCTCGAGGGCACAGGAGTTGGCTTCTCAATAGCAGACAAGCTTCGGTTGCTGTCTTTGCGATGCCGCTGGGGGGACTGATGAGTAAAAACCGGACTCTGGCACAAACATGCTGGCTGGTCATAGAGATTAGGCCTGGACGATTGATAGCTAATATGCGGTTTCGTCCTGTCCTCCTCGACTCTATAACTTTGGATTTCTTTGTTATCGGTTGTGTGTTTGGCAGAGCAGTGTTCGTCGTTACAATGTCTACGATTCTTGAAGCTGACTGGTTCGCTCTCAGTCCATGCATTAGCCAACTGTCTCTCAATCGGCGGCTGAACGCTAGCTCTCTCCAGATGTCTGGCAATATAGCTTCCCTGCAAGCCATCAACTGGCGGGTGCTCTTTTCCAAGCAAACACTTCTCATACTCCGGCTTTTCCTTTTCACTCTGCCCGCAATATTGCCTTCTATGGCTTCTACTGGCATTACAATTTAACTCCATGGCCTGATCCTTGGACACCTCATTAGGGTTTCGTTGGCATTCTGCAGAATATTTGGCCTCCACGTACTGACTCAGTTGATGTTCTTTTTCCTCACTCAAATCTTTATAAATCCTCTCGCTTTGCTTGCTATCGTAGAGTCCTGAGCTATTTCTACGCTCCGAACAATGAAGTGAGCGTTGGTGGTGTAACCTATCGCCACTTTCTGATTGGCCTTTCTCCTGGGGTTTCATTTGATTCCTTTGTTCCTTCTTCAACTGCTTTTCTTGTCGACCCACATGATGGCGATTGTAGTATGTTGAAGCGTTCCTTTCGTCCACGTAATCGGGCAATCGTTGTTGTTGTTGATCCATCGTCTGCCTGTTCTGATTTAGAGGATAATATTCATCCGGATACTGTGGGGCACTGTTGGGCACTTCGCTGACATTGCTCGTTTCGAAATAGTTGTGCGCTTGTGGACGATTTTCCATAACTATTTGTCTATCGTACTCTCTACGACTATTCGGAGTATTCTGGGGAAACTGTGTCGGGTGTCGTGCATCTTCGTACTCCTTCCGATGCTTCCCAGTGCTATGTTGTCTGTCATTTTTATGTGAACGGCTACTGTCCGCAACCTTTGAATTATGGCTCCTTTCTTTGTGTTCATTGCTCAACTGCTTTTCGTACTCGTCTAAGTATTTTTTCTCATCAAATTTCGGAGCACAGGCGTGAGCTTCATGGACATGCAAGTGACGTCCATCTTCCAATAAAATGTTCCTGTCATACTCATACGGGTTAGAATTCTCAGGGTACAATGACAAATTGATATTTTCCTGGCTTCCTGGCTTCTGTCTTCGCCTGCCTCCGTGGAATTGCGGAGAAAAGTTCGTCCCTGTATAATCGTAAAGTTTATGTTTCTCTGGCTTCGTTGGTGCACCTGAGTACGTCTGGTAGGCGCCACAAGCACGATTTTGGGGTAAATCAAACCTCTCGGCATAGCCGCCCATTGCCAATTCACTGCCCCCGGAAGCACGTTGTGTGTTGGGACAAATGCACCCGCAGCTCTCATTCCCAAATAAATCGCGATCGTTTTCATGTCCATGCTGCCGGTTTGGCCGGAGCTTCCGTTGATGTGTCTGGGTTTGTATAGGCCTTGTATCGTTGTCTACTGAATTCGAACTATACCCTAGCTCCATTATCGCTTCCGCTTGCTTCGAGCTGTCAGGCTGGTTATCGTCTATGTACTGGTCCGAATCGCTAAGAATACTCTCCATGTGCCGCCACTCCCGTTCGTAGTCGTCCAAGTAGATAACCTCGTTTACCGAAAGCGGTACTCCCATACGGTCGTATTGTACGCGCCGCCTAAAAAGTTCCACAAAACTAAGCTTCATTGAACTTTCCTTCTCCTTTTCATTAAATTTCATGCGACGTGCCAGTTCGCAGCACTGTTCGGCGGCAACAGAGAGTCCTGGCTTCGGACTGGCAACCTGGATTTGTCGCTCGATGGTCTTCACAAGCTTCAAGTACTCGCCAGCCACTCCTCGCAGTATGCTCTTTTGCTCGGGAGTTGTTACTGTGAATGGGACACGGTTCGAATATTGGGCTAGAGATATAAATAATATACTCGTATAATAGTGGGGCTACTCACTCGATCGATTGTTGTAGGACGGGACCAATGCCAAGTCATTAGCAGGCGTATCTTCTTCATCTATTTCAGGCTGATCTTGCTCTTTTTGCGGGAACGATTGCTCTTCTTCTTCTATAATCTGATCAAACGACTGTATACTTTCTGTATCTGGTGCTTCTGTTTCTGCTGCCACATGTGTTTTTATTTTGTCCGGATAATAGAACTTTTTTTCCATATCTGTTTATATAAAAAATAATTTGAAAAGTTTGAAACTTGCCTAAGCGAACACTACTTTAAAAATTTGTTTGTGATGTTTAACGAAAAGCTTGCCGGATCGCACATAACGGCACAAGATTAATGTTCAAACAAGTAAAAAAGCTAAGGTCGGCCGACTTTGGAACACTCTGTACATATGTTTAGAATAATTATAGATATTAAAAAAAAATGTTGATCGATTTTACCTCTCTTGGTATTCGAACTCACGTAAAGGGTGTATAATTGCACATTTACAAAGCAATTGCGTCTATTTGAGTGTATGAATGCCTATGCGCGTCTATTCGTGTCTGTGTGAACATGTTTGCAGTAAGCCAAAGCACCAGCATCAACAACAGCCGCGGGCAGCGCTTGGGCAGCAATTATATTTGTGGCTATAACTTCCTGTTAAATCGGTCTATCGTAACGAAACTTGGCATACGAATACATAATCACTAACTGGGATAGTTACAAAGTTTGAGTTCGAAATTCCAAGAATTACGGGAGTTACGATTTGTGTAGGAGAAGGGGGTGGGAGGGAAATTCCATTCGATGGATTGGAGAGTTATCGTGTCTTACAGTACAGTAGGGAATATTGCTATCTCCACTACACCCTTTTAGCCCCCGTGTTCAGAAACAATTGTTGTTGGTTGTGTATTTCGTGAGTTTTGGTTTTCGGTCATTTTATTATTTTTAATTTTGGTTTTTTGTGTGGGACGTGTCTGTTCAGTGAAAACTGTCAATTGACCGACAATTAAATATCATGCTGCGAACACAAAAATTGACTCTTTTTTACGCACTCAAATTATTCGTCCAGTTGATGTTTTCCATTTATTTCATACAAGTATGAAAACTGGAATTCATTTACTTTTCAATATTTTGTGGACCCGCTTTTGGCGTCCTCCAAATGTCGACGCATACTTTCAAATTTTACACACAAACACGCATAATTATTCCATACATATGTACAGGGTATTTCCAAGTCGGAACTTGCTTTTAATCAATCTTATTGTGTAAACATAGTTCTATGTAACAACTTTTAATTTGACTTGCTAAACTATTTGCAAATGAAAGCAAATTAATCTGTCCTATTTATTTATTTCGTTCACGGAACTCAACGTTGTCTTCTAGAAATAAACACAGCGGGAAAACCTTGCGGTACTTTTGTAAAATTCGTTGCTTATAGCTAAAGCATACTACCAACGAAATATAGGAGGAAGAGAGAAATCGAAGAATTGCATTTTGTGGACAATACAATGTGCCAGCTCGTTGTCCTATTTACTTCTTTTGCGCACCCTCTGTATACTTGTAGAATATTATTATTCGCATCTGCTTTAAATCGAACTATACAGAGATTAGCCATGTTACTGGCTAAAAACGGCAAAAGTTTGCTTTTGGCTTTTTCTAATCAGTAGCACTATCTTGTGCACATATTGAAATGCACACTGATTAAGTGATAATGGCTTTCTTATTTAATAAAATGAATTATTCGCAACAGCTATTCTGGTTCGAATGCCTTATACGAGTATTGATTCGGCTACGGCATCAATACGATTTAATTGCATTTAAATTTAATTTCATAGAGATATAAAGAAGAGTAGTCATGAAGATATGTATACACCGGAAGCGTTAATTAGATATTATTGTAATTTGATTAGATTTCTCCTTCTTAGGCTTTTCTAGCTTATAAGATACTTTTTAAACTTTTTAGATATTTTTCTCCTATGTCGACAGTCATATGTTTGTTGACATAAATAAATAAATAAATAAATAAATAAAGACATGTATACTATATGCTTGTATGTCATTTAGATTCAGATCTCCCTCTGGGGAAAGTCGTACAGTGCCCCTTGTCTCTCGCTAAATGTCTACAAGCATGTACATATATTGTGATTAGCTTGGCACGCGCTTATCAAACATTCCCCGATAGTCCGGACACACCTGAGACGCGCTGACCCGGCGGCCCATATGCCTGGGCGGGATGACGCGGCCGCTGGTGAGCAGGTGTTCGATGTAGTAGCGACAACGGCCTTAGCGCGATAAGTGCTGTTCGCCATAAAATGATTCTTGTTTGGGCAGCGCAGTCGTTTAGTGTCGATTGCTGAAGTGAACACCTGTTCTTGGTGGCAGATAAGCGGGAGCCAAGTGGCTCTCCTTACAGTGCCAAGACTCGACCATAAAAAGTAGATTGCGACTCATACGAGTGTGCGCAAACGTGCAACGGGTGTTGGGGCAGCGACAGCAACGGAAAGCCGCAAACACACCTATCCGAGTTGTAATGCCTGCCGTCGCGACGCGTCGATTACAGCGACCCGCCCAGTCCTATGATTCACTCAGATATTCCTAATTCCAATGTGCACCGTGGGCGAAACTCGCGAAAATTCATAATAAACTTACCTAAATGGTATAAACTTTGATTTTCCACTTTGAATAAACAACTTTAAATAAGCGCAAAGAATGTAACAGGCAGAAGAAAGCACACCCGAATGACAGACCATAGCCATGTCCGTCTGTCTGTATGACCGCCCGGATTTCGGAAACGGCCGAGTCCACCGTGACCAACCTTGGTATGTAGACTCTCCTTATACTCAGGCAAGACGGGTTTGTTTTATTTTCTGGATTTGTTCTCCCCTAGCTACAAAAACCAAACTCTGCACACCTAATTAATATATAATTCCCAACTTTTGTTTTCAACTTTCATCCAAATCCGTTGATTCTAAGTTTTGTAGTAAATAATTTGTACAATTTAGTCTAAATAGTCGAACTGTGAAAGTCTATATTAATAAGTTGATAATGTACATAACTAGGAGATGGAAACAGACCCAAGGTCAGAGGTAACTGCAACATCAGAATAAGAATAACTATTTCCTATATATCTCGTTCAATTGCTTGAAAGGCTTTTACAATAGTTGGATAAGAGTTGCATTTTCCTCTTTTTCACCCGGAACATAGCTGCCCGGAATAAAAATAAATGAATCTCTTTCTATTTATGTTGACAGTCCATTTGTTAAATTAACAAAATAAATATTACAAGTATGTACCTTTCCTCGTCCACTCTGAAAATTGATTAAAATCTAACTTGGTAAAATGAAAATCTAATTGTGATCAGAGCTTGCCTAACACTATGGCCTTTGTTTTTCATTACTGATCGGTTTTTAATTACTTTTTTCTTGAAGTCTAGAATTTATTCATAATTTATTTCATAATGGGACCCCACTGCCGTATTATTAATAGACCCAAAAAAGTTTTGAAAAAAGCTCCTCGAGTACCATTCGACGACTTATCGCCAATTGCCCAGAGCGGAGATAAGCCGCATCGACTTGTCATCGCGAACAGCTAATCACAAACTAATCGAAGCGGAAATCTTATCAGTCCGTTGTGCTTAGTACCTTCCCGAAAATGTTCCCATCCACATGGCGACCAGTTGGTAGCAGGCTGCTGGTGGCTGTTGTTGGTCTGCGCTTGGCCAAACATTTCGACTGTGGTCGTTCGGTTTCTTGTTTTGTTTTTTTTTTTTTTGTGGTTTTTTGTTTGTGTGTGTATTGGGATGAACAAGTTGATATCCTGGATTGGTGCTCTGGCATTGAGCAGTTGGGTTTGCTTTGTGGATGGGCAGAGTGACCTTCCATGCATCTGGTACGGACGCAGTCATTTGAAGGGGTCGCACTGGCAAAATAAGGCTGATAACGGCCCTGCACGGCCGCTAAACAGTCCCGAGGCTGAGGAAATATTCAAGCGTCGCTGCCCCACATTTTACGAGGAGTACAAGGGACCCAATGGCGATGCGGAACTATTGCTATGCTGCGATGCGGATCAAGCGATTGACTTGGACGCGGGTATGACCCAAGCCGATGGCGTCTATTCGCGCTGCCCGACCTGTGTGGCCAATATGGCGTTGACCATATGCGCCATGACATGTGCACAGAACCACTCGCTCTTTCTCACGGCCTACAACGAACCCTACGACAATCACGAGTATGTGGAGCACATTGACTATCGATTGTCTGCAGAGACTGCTTCTAAGGTCTACAACAGCTGTGCGAGCATTCAACATCCGCAGACGGGACGGCCAGTGATGGACTTGGGGTGCGGTGCCTACAATGCCAAGACATGTGACTACCGCAAATGGTACAATTCTATGGGCGATGCCGACAGCAGCGACTATGTGCCGTTCACAATCAACTATATATATGACGACGATGAAGTGGGCTCCAGCAACGAGGATGATGCCATCTTTTTGCATCTAGATCCACTCGACTGTGGTCAAAGCTATGACAACAACTATGCTTGTGCCTGCATAGATTGCGACGAGTCGTGCCCGATAAGCACACCCCCGGCGGGGCAGGAGGATCCCTGGCAAATAGCTGGCCTTTATGGAGTGACCTTTATTGTCAGCTTGATAGTGGGCATACTTTTGGCCGTCCTCATCTTTTGGGGCTCCTTCGGACGTTGTCAAGCGCCAAATGTTTGCATGCCCACGCTTTATGGTGGTTTCCTGCACACGAGCTTCCGGTTCTGGGGTACTTTTTGTGCAAAACATCCGGTTCTGGTGTTGGCCATATGTTCCTGGGTTATTGGCGGCCTTGGATATGGCATACGCTATATGAATGTCACCACGGATCCCGTGGAGCTGTGGGCCGGTGAAGAAAGTCGCACAAGAATTGAAAAGGAATACTTCGATGAACACTTTGGGCCTTTCTACCGCACCAATCAGATATTTGTAAAGCCCAAGGACAAGAGCTACGTGAGTGAAGCTAAGAAAAGCCGATAATTATTCTTAATCAATCGATACTTTTTGTGCTAGTTTACACACGAAGCGCCCAGTGGATTGCTTCAGTTTGGACCGGCCTATGAGTTCAACTTCTTGAAGGAGGTCTTTGAGCTGCAGGAGGCCATCATGAAGTTGGGTCTTGACGAAGGTGTTGGTCTGAACAAAGTGTGCTATGCGCCAATGCTATATCCGGGGGAGGAGCCGGAAGTGAAAGACTGTGTTATACAGTCCCTCTACGGCTATTTCCAGCACGACATGTCTCGTTTCGAGAGCTCCTATGAGGACAGCAATAATTACACCATTAACTACTTGAATCAACTTGAGGATTGCTTGCGGTACGATTGCAATTTGTTATTCCAGAAACTCTCTATATCTATCCCCTATATAGAGTTCCCATGATGGAGGACTGCTTTGGCACCTACGGCGGCCCAATTGAACCGGGCATAGCTGTGGGTGGCATGCCCAAGGTCAGTGCTGGGGAGGATCCAGACTACTTACTAGCCACCGGTCTAGTGCTCACATTCCTCGGACGCAATCAGAACGATCCCTCGAAGTTGGAGAACAATCTAGAGTGGGAGCTGAAGTTTATTAATTTCCTCAAAAGCTATACCAGCGATCGCCTGGACATTGCCTTTTCCGCGGAGCGCTCTATCCAGGATGCTATAGTGGAGCTAAGCGAGGGAGAAGTGGGCACTGTGGTCATAAGCTACGTGGTGATGTTTGTCTATGTGGCCATCGCCTTGGGCCGCATACGCAGTTGCCGGGGCTTTTTCCGAGAGTCACGCATCATGCTGGCCATCGGTGGTATTGTCATCGTCCTCGCCTCTGTGGTGTGCAGCCTGGGCTTCTGGGGCTATTTGAATGTGACGACCACAATGCTTGCCATCGAGGTCATTCCGTTCCTGGTGCTGGCCGTGGGTGTGGACAACATATTTATTATGGTGCACACGTATCAGCGATTGGATCGCAGTCAATATGCTAATACCCATGAGGCGATCGGAGCTGCTATTGGTCAGGTGGGTCCCTCCATACTGCAGTCGGCGGCCTCCGAGTTCGCCTGCTTTGCCATTGGCGCCATCTCGGACATGCCGGCGGTTCGGACCTTTGCGATGTACGCGGCGGCGGCCATTTTGTTGGACTTTTTGCTGCAGATCACGGCATTTGTGGCACTTATGGCCATCGATGAGAGGCGCTACCGTTCGGGGCGCCTGGATATGCTATGCTGTGTGCGAACCGCAAAGATCCTGAACGACTCATCGGATGTGGGCATGCTGGAGAAGTTGTTCAAACATTTCTATGCACCTTTCTTGCTATCCAAGTGAGTAATGAGAGCGAAAAGAAAACCATTTCGAAATACTTTCTCCTCCCTTACATTATTTCCATTAGAACCGTGAAGACGATCGTGTTGCTAGCTTTTACTGTGATAACCTGCCTGTCACTCATGGTGTGTCCGTCCATCGAGCCCGGCCTGGATCAGGAACTTTCTATGCCCAAGGACTCCCACGTAGTTAAGTATTTCCAATACATGGATGATCTATTAGCGATGGGCGCACCCGTCTACTGGGTGCTGAAGCCAGGGCTGGACTATGCTCAGCCAGAGCAGCAAAATATCATCTGCGGCGGGGTCGAATGCAACGACGACAGCCTGTCCGTGCAGCTCTATACCCAGTCGCGTTATCCAGAGATTACATCTCTTGCACGCTCGGCCTCCTCGTGGATTGACGATTACATCGATTGGCTAAGCATATCCGACTGTTGCAAGTACAATGCCACCACTTTGGCCTTCTGTCCGAGCAGTGAGTAAGCCAAGTCCTAGTTTATAACGAACTGGCCAAGAAAGAGATATCTCTTTCCAGATTCCAAGAGTGATGATTGCTTGCCCTGTCCACGTGAGTTCACGGATGATGGGCTACGCCCCAAACCAGAGACCTTTAACAGATATGTACAGTTCTTCCTCTCTGATCTCCCCGATGCTGAGTGCGCCAAGGCTGGTCGAGCTGCCTATGCAGATGTAAGCCCCATTTCTGTTCTTCCTGACAAGCTCTTGCGACTTAACAGGTGTTGTTTTTAAGGCCGTCATCTACACCCTAGACGATGAGGGCTTGGCCACCATTTTGGATACCTATTTCATGCAATACTCCACCACTTCGACCACCAGTCCGCAATTCACATCAGCGCTGCGTGAAGCGCGCCGCATCGCTAGCGAAATCAACGCAATGTACCAGGCACATGGAGTGGACGTCGAAGTGTTTCCCTACTGCGTTTTCTTTATTTTTTATGAGCAGTACCTGACCATCTGGAACGATGCGCTTTTCTCCCTCGGACTCTCACTGGTGGCCATATTCGTAGTCACCCTTTTAATCACCGGCTTCGATATTACATCGGCGCTAATTGTTCTGTTTATGGTCATCTGCATTGTCATCAACATGGGTGGCATGATGTGGGCCTGGAGTATTACGCTTAATGCGATTTCGCTGGTAAATCTAGTGGTGTGTGTAGGCATAGGCGTTGAATTCGTCTCGCATATTGTGCGCTCATTCAAGGAAGCTGAGGGCACGGCCCAGGACCGAGCTATGCGCTCCCTTACGGTCACCGGAAGCAGCGTTCTCTCGGGCATTACGCTCACCAAGTTCGCTGGCATTGTGGTGCTCGCCTTTTCAAACTCGCAGGTGTTCCAGGTCTTCTACTTCCGCATGTACCTGGGCATTGTTCTTATTGGAGCAGCACATGGATTGATTTTATTGCCGGTGCTCCTGAGCTTGCTGGGACCATTACCTGGACTGCGCAAAACATCCAGCGATGAGCCACTGACGCCTTAAGTATCGCCTACCACGATTTCTCCGTAAAAGTGTGCGTGTGTGGGTTTGTGTGTGGGAGTCTGACTGCGCCAGAGTGTGTACAACTGTGATTTAAAAGTCACCGCGACAATATGTAACAAATATCAGGGACGATTGTAATTTAGTGGGTCCTTGAAGGATTTCAAGAGACACAAATGTATAATTATAATAAGAATTATAAACGATAATAATTATATTTTATTTACTATAATATTCCCCTTGTCTCATGCGCGAATCAGTAGCAAACGACAGCAATCGAACGATAATGATCGGATCTGCAGACATTAATGCAGCATAGAGTCTCTAAATGGGTTTCAAATAGGGACAGGTATATAGTATGTATGTCCAGTACGGAACAATTTGTACCTAAGAATTTGTATACTAATCGGTAGCGCTTTCCACTGAAAGTTTTAGCAATGCCATTCCCAAAGAAATATACCACCGGCCCACAGTCCACACAAAACACGAGGTCGCAAATATTTTCGCTGACCTAAGCCCCGATATAACTGCCCCAGAACTTAGCTGAAAACACGTGGGTGTACGAAAATTGGTGTAATATTATCTTATTTTAAAAAATATAGGTAACATACACGTAATATTCATTGGGCACTGTGGATATTGAAAATGCACTTCACACATAAGCATACATACATATGTTGCATAGTTAGGAAATTATGCAGATTTAATTTTTCGACATTCATTTTCGAAATTTTACTTAATAATATCGTATAAATCGAAAATATTTAGTATGAACTCATCCTAAAATGCTATATTTTACTTGGGAATGCTGCTAGAGTATTCGTTTTTAATCAATCAAACGTAACATAAGAAGACATCAGCATCGGATGTTATTGTCAAATGTGGGTAAAAATTCCAGGAATTCTGGGAGTTATGTGCATCGCAAAAAAATCTCAAACTTATGAGAATCTGGATACCAAGTTTGCGTATTGTAGTCCTTATACTTTTTGCCATTTTTGCGCTCATGCAGACAGATAGACGGACAGACAGACGGACATATCTATCTCTCTATCTCGTCTTGACATACTGATCAAGAATATTTTTACTTTGTGTACGTTTGTACCAAACTAGTGTACCCTTTGGGAAGCTGATCCTTGCAATCCATTTAACTAATAATAACAATTTTCAAATTGAAGAAGAAGACATTTCCGGGGAGGTTCTCATCCTAGAACACGTAAGGGTATGGTTACAGCAATCGATTGTCGTTTTATGGCCTCAAGAAGGAGGACAAGTAATGAAAATTTCTTGCGATTTAATAATATGTATTAATATGTACTAATATGTAGCTCGCTATATTAACACAATACAAGTACAAGAGAGGGAGAGAGAGAGTACTACTTATTTTGTAACAGATTAAAAAAGACGTGGCAGAACCATATGCATACATAGATGCCCACAATGACCACAGGAATCGATATAGCCATATCCATTGTCTGTTTCTACCAGGGACTGTAATCATTAAATCATTAATAATGCTTCATTTTCACTCTCCCACAAAATAATTAATTGTGGGGTACTCAACCAATAACCATTCAAAAAAACTCATAGAATAATGAGTACTCTTTATTTGTTGATTTGTTAATCAAAAAAAAACTTAAGTTGCAGTTTTGTCAATTTCGTAGGTAATAAGGAAACCATTTATATGTATTTATATTTTCTACGCAAAACTACTGTCACGGTTCCCAAGCCCAAGAGGAGAAATATCTCCTTTTTCTGCAAGGAGTAGTGCATTTTGTCATCTCGTGTTTGGCAAACTACCTTCATCCGGCCACAATATCCTATTGCTACCAATGGAAGTATTTTTTGAGTACCATGACATTTTCCATTTGTAATATAGAGGCGAGTTTGAAAAGAAAAGACATATTGCGGCCAGCATTTTTATTTTGAAATAAAGTAAATAGGTTAACTTGCTTCGAAAACTTGCTTCTTAGCTGCCTAACTTAAAACTTGCCATTTGGGCTGTGCGCGAATTGTGAATCACCGAAGATGACCATCTCTCCTGTTTATGCAGGTGTCCTTGAGTGTGGGAATCAGGAATCTTTGTACAATTTAAATTTTTGGATTTTTTCGGATTTTGGTAGAACAATGTAAAGCTTCTGACTGCCATTAACGTGGAAATGGCCAGAGTGATCTTTGTCTCTGCCATCATCAAGTTGACACACGACCTCCTCGCGGTGCTCTCTGGGTAGCTTTCCGGCTCCATCCGGAGTTGGTAAGTGAGCAAATGTGTGCAGCGCTTTTGTGCGTAGGGCTTGGGACCCACCACATGAAAATTTTTTACTCCCAGTGAAGGACATAACAACAGCTGCTTTCTCAACCGCTCTCGGAAACCGATACTGGTAGCGGACTTTGGGCACATATTTCCCGCTCACTGCACACAGCCGCAGAAGATGTCATTGGTTTCCAACAGCCGCTACCGAGAAACCAATGGTACGACGAGGAGTGCCGCGAAGCCACTGCAGCGAAGAATGCCGCGTACAAAAGAACCCTGCAGACGGCGACAACGCGCGCTGTGCATGATGTATATCGGGAGAAGAAGAGGGAGGAGAGGCGGCTTTTTAGACGCAAGAAGAGAGAGCAAGAAAAGCGAGAGCGAGAGGAGATGGAGCTTTGTAGAGACAGGAACGACGCTAGGAAATTTTTCCAGAAGGTGAAGCGTCTAACGCAAGGTTTTAAGCCCGCAGCGTCAGCCTGTAAGAACTCGGAAGGAAATCTGGTGGTGGACGGGCAAGCGGCACTGAGACTGTGGAGGGAACATTTCTCCAATCTTCTATCAGGCGAAGATGTTAACAATTCCGCCAGCGGAGATGACCCCACAGAACCGATCGCCGACGATGGTATTGAAGTACCGTCACCTAGCCATGACGAAGTCGAAACAGCCATCCAGCGGCTCAAAAACAACAAATCTGCGGGAGCAGATGGGCTGCCTGCGGAGCTGTTTAAGGCAGGCGGCAATGAGTTGGTAGGGTGCATGCACCAGCTCATTTGCAAAATATGGCTAACTGAAAGCATGCCTGATGATTGGAATCTCGGTGTCCTATGTCCCGTCTTAAAAAAAGGTGATCCCACGGTCTGCACCAACTATCGTGGAATCAGCCTTCTTTCCGTCGCATATAAGGTCATATCAAGCGTAGTGTGTGATAAGCTAAAGCCATTTGCGATAGCACTGATTGGGCCTTATCAGTGCGGCTTTATGCCTGGTAAATCCACCACTGACCAGATATTCACGCTACGCCAAATCCTGGAGAAAACTCATGAGTTTCAAATCGATACCCACCATCTTTTCGTCGACTATAAAGCAGCATTCGATAGCCCGAGGAGGGAACGTGTATATGCCGCACTGTCTGAGTTCGGTATCCCTGCAAAGCTAGTGCGACTATGCAGAATGACGTTGAGCAACACTCGTAGCTCCGTCAAGGTAGGAAAGGACCTCTCCGAACCCTTTGATACCGTTCGAGGTTTCAGGCAAGGCGATGCCCTCTCGTGCTATCTCTTCAACTTCCTGCTGGAGAGTGTGGTGCGCAAAGCTGGTGTACACCGAGGCGGAACGATCTTTTTTAAAAGCGTTCAGCTTCTTGCGTACGCTGATGATATAGACATTATCAGCCGTACCAGGAGAGGCGTCACCGGAGCATTTGCGGCTATTGAGAAGGAAGCTGCAAAAGTGGGTTTGGTGATAAATGAGAGCAAAACTAAGTATATGTTTTCCTCTAGCAGGGACACGCGGCAACCAGACTCCCAGATCGCGGTGGAAAACTATACTTTCGAAATGGTGAAAGATTTTATGTATCTTGGCACCACCGTCACAGCAACCAACGATGTCAGCCTAGAAATCAAATGGAGATTAACTCTAGCCAATCGATGCTACTTCAGCCTCAGTAGGCAATTGAGTAGCAGAGACCTTTCCCGAAAAACCAAGCTAACGCTCTACAAGACGCTCATCCTCCCCGTGCTGCTTTATGGTGCAGAAGCATGGGTGATATCGCAGACTGATGCAGCAGCTCTTGCAGTGTTTGAGAGAAAGATGCTTCGGAAGATCTTCGGTCCCATACGCGTTGGCGACGACTACCGCATACGATGGAACAGCGAACTGTACGAGCTCTACGCTGACATTGACATAGTCAAGCGAATAAACATCCAGCGGCTAAGCTGGCTAGGTCATGTCGTGCGTATGGAAGAAGACGCTCCAGCGAAAAAAGTTCTCGATGCGGATGTTGGGGGGAGACGACGACGGGGGAGGCCTTGCCTACGTTGGAAGGACCAGGTAGAGAACGCACTTACTACCTGCGGAGTGACCAACTGGAAGCGACGCGCGCGAAGCAGAGGCGCGTGGAGAGCTGTGTTACGTCAGGTCATAGCCCGATAACGGGTTTGAAGACCAGTCAAGAGAGAGAAGAGAGAGAATACAAATAAATTCTTTACTGTTAAGTCATAAATTTGCATAAAGTGCTGCGGATTCCCTGATCTCGAGGGGTGCACAGCTGCCACCACTGCCGTCGCTGGCTCTGACTTTGGCATAACTTCCAGGACATCTCCTTGCCTTTGACTCACCTTTGGCGGACGCGCATTTACTTTTATTGTTTATCGCTGTGGCACCTTTGCTTTTTATGGCCTTAAATTTGAGGGCAACTGCCAAGCGGCAAAACAATAAACAAGAAATTTCAGCTATAGCCAGTCAGCCAGGAATGCGGTTCCCTACTATTCAAACACCCCTTGCTCACAACTTGAACCATGTCTGCTATCGCTAGCAGTCCCCCCTTCTGGGTTTTCTTTTTTCTCTGTCTCTTAGCTTTACGCCTTTTGGCCAAAAAGTTTCGCGTCGTTGACGCAGATTTTAGCTGCACCTTCTTCATTATTTTTAACTGCGCGCCGCCTGCTGGCAGCCGCACGCGCCAACGCATTCTGCGGCTTATAAAGAGAAGTGGCACCACCAGCAACAAAAACAACAGTAGAAGCAGCAACAGCAACAACAACAACAACAACAGCAATATGGCGGTCACGCACACAGTGGGCAGTCGCGGCTAGAACGCACCCTTCCCCCTTCAGGAGCTTCGCCCTCAGCCATTCGTTCGAGCAGTCTCGCAGTCAGCTAAGTATCCACGGGCATTTAACCCTCAAAATGAG